AAAAAAAAAAAAACACCGGATTACTTCATAAGCAGAAACACCAAAAACGCCCCTTATGGTGCAAAAAATTGGCTTTGTATCGGCGACACGTAAACTTAGTTTTCTGTTTTTGCAAATTCACTTCCCAATGTGACCTGCCCCAACTGTAAAATTGTATATCTAGCCCAGAAAATCATTTGGATTTGAGATGCACTTAAAAACTAACCAAAAAATCTTCAGTTTGAAGCAGAATGCTTTTTGAAAAACTTTTTTGAAACCAACCTTGCCCTTCATTGTTCAAACCACTCAGTCGCTGTTTAAAATTAGTAAGACCGTGTTCATCGTCATCAATTTTTTTTTTCAGCGAAGAAACGTTTTCTTTCGCAGCCAAAGATAACTCCTCCAAACGTTGGATCTTCAACGACGTTTCTAAAAATTTCTCGCCTTCCGAATCTCTTTGCGGAATATAATAAATCAAAAATTACTTTAATTCTCACAAATGTAGAAGTTAAAAGAGGACATCATGAACGTGCGGCAGGAGACAAAAGCCATCACTGTCGGAAAAATGAACTGAGTAAAAAACTGACTATTGCCTTACAGTTCAAATAAGCATTCCAACATAACTAACCCTGCTGTAACTTCTGTTGCGAAGCGCGACTTTTTGAGATCCCCTTTGCACGTTCTTTGTAATCGTGCAGTGAAGCCAACCAGTTGCTACTCTAAAAAGTTAAACATAAGTGATGCACACAAGTACTTACACCGGCAGGGCAATATTCAATAAAGCAGTGGTTTGCATAAATCCACTTACAGAACCATTATACTATGAATAAAACTTCAAAATATACTGTTAAATTCGCTGCGGAACAAAAAACATCACAAACTTCATCAGAAAAAAGGGTATAGTTCCCGATAAACTGATAAATGCGGCAGGGCAAGAGAAGAAACTTAAGAGGAAAAAGCATAAAGGTGGGCACAGATGCTTGTCAACCCCCAAATATAAGGCAGTTAATGCTACCCAACGAAACACAAATAAAACATTACCATTACATACAGTAGATAACGATTAAAAAAGTTTTAGTTGAACAATCTTACAAGGTAAAGGTTCAAATATAAAGTTTAACACTAGCTCAGTAAATTTTCAACACAAATTTAGATTATTACAGACGGCATCAAATTCAAGTAATCGCCAAACTGCACACATAATTGTTCATTTTCACAAATTCTTTGAATAAGATTTTGTCCCACGTAAACAAATATGTCAATGTTCTAAAGACAATTCCTATTTAGACGGTAAAAATTATTACAAAACTGAAGAAAAGCTAATCAATCCAGCCTCAAACAGCTAAGTAAAACCTAGACTAAGAGAAACCTGAGAAGGAAAAGAACTTGCAAAATTTCGTAAATGAACTAAGAGGTAAATCCTTCACCTGGAAATTACTATTTACGCCAATTGCAGTTTGCATAAAATCCTCACAAAGCATCACAAGTTCGCCAAAAGTGTCTGTATTCTCTTCCATTCCTGAATTCGCTAAAAATTATGACTTTTTAAATGAACCTCCTAGTTAACTATTAATAAGGAACAAACAAAAACATCAAGAATCAAATGCAAGCGTTGAAAAACACCTAGTTTACTGAAGCATAAAATCACGCAGAGGAGAACTCTTAGATGTATTTTACTATTCAGTTTTCCAAAAAAGATTTTCATAAATTTCACTAGTAAAACGTTTTTATTTTTCAAAACATTTTGGACTGAAGAGTCTCAAGTTTAAACAGCACAAATCTGTGATCAGAAGTGAAAAAATAGTCAAATAAACAAAACTAAATTCCCAAATCCAATTAACCATTAAACAATTGTACATATATTATATATAAATATGGGCCATTCCATGCCAAATCGCACACCTCTGAACATCACCCTCCCGGGTTTTTTCCTTTTTTGATCAGTAAAGTCTATACCAGCATAAAGAAACCCGCAAAGAAAACCTGGAGAAGTGAATTCCCAGCCAAGTTACACCCCCAAAGTTGCAAAATTTGCCAGGATGTCACTTGACATGCCTATCTTTGGAGGCTTGTAATTTGGCCTGTTCTTAACGGAATTCAACGATTTTTGATCCTCTTGTCCTGAGCCTTTGAAAAAATGTTGAATAGTTTAATTCTGATAAAAATACACAAAGATATGATAAAAACAAAATTTCAAAAAAACAGAAAAAAAAACGTGCCTTCAAATTTTTTAAAAAAGATATATTTTATACAAAATTTTTTTCTCTACAACATATTAAAATTTAGAGATGAGAATTTCTCGATATCGGGAGCTACGAGCCGGAATAGGATGTGAAACTTTGAAAAAGCACTATTTTTTTCACTATTTTTACAGTAATCCCATATATTTTACAATGGCGAAATCATCCGGAGCCGCTTTGAAAGCCGCAGCTGGCAGCTACAAATATCCCGTATGCTTCAAATGTTTAAAATTCGCTACCAAAGTCATACTTTACTTCAACAATATTAACAAATTATTCTGCAGAGTTATAAGAAGTAGTCTTTACTCTAGCCCTTTCTACTTTTTTTAAGTTGTGATTGTTCAGTGCTAAGAATTGTCTCTGTCCTGTACTCGTCAAAGTTTTCGCA